GTTATTAACGCTGCATCGAGAATGGAAGATTTTCTTATATTGGATCTTCTTGCCTTGGGGTGAGTAATAATCTTTTCACATACATACAATGTGTTCCCCTTCTTCTTCTACTATTTTAGTATTATCAATATTATTAATCACATCATCTTGGGCATCTTTTTTTTTCTTCAAAGTCATCTTTGTGATATGTAAGGTTAACAGTCTTACGAGCACAACACTTGTTGGAACAATGACCAAGCTCCCCACATTTGAAATACTTCCCAACTAGGAGTCGAGCATATGGATTGTTTGTAGTAATCGGGATATGCTTAGCTTGTCTTGTTGTTTCTTTCAGTATTTATGTCTTGATTTATAGGTTGTATTGACTCAATCACAACTTGCTTCTCTTTATTGAGAACAAATCATGTTGTCATAGTAAAAAATTATCGAGTAGCAATTGGAGATCAAGTCAATAATATTTCAACTTTTAGTGTCATATTGTGAGCTTCATCTACTATCCATATCGGAGTTAAAGAATTTTATCTTTAATTAAAAAATTTAGTCCATTGACATACCTTGTTGCTTGTTCGTCATCTGAATATGATAAGTTACATCTCACTGGAAGGCATAAAAATTCGTTAGTATAATAAGTTACAAATTGAGTTCCATGGATGCAATTTTGGTATTATTAGAATAATAGTTATTCATAGTTTGGGGTTATAAATCTTCTTTTAAGAAGTTGCTTCAACTTCTGTCATGTTTGTATTGGTGTCTTTTCTTGCCTTCTTCTGTTCTTCTGTAATATATCCCACCAAGCTACTGCACCTTTCAACTTATATGCAACAAACTTGACTTGTTTGTGATCAATAATATCTATCACCTCGAAGAAGTTCTTTACTTTATAAATCTAGTTAAAAAATACTTCAATGCTGAGGTGGCTATTAAAACTGGGGTTGTCTACTCTAAGGTGGTAATCCTCATATAGCCTATTTCATTTGGGTAGTACTTGATGTCTTCTATATCTTTTACTATCATCTTCTGAGTCATTATCATATACTATTAGTTGTTATGGGTAGATAGTAATGCATCGGTTAAAGCATTAATGTTGAACTGTACCTATACTTCTTTAGTTGGTTTTATAATAGTCAACATTTTTTTCTTTATCTAACTCATCTTTATCAGCTAGTTACCTTATGTTAGATTGCAAACCCGTATTGATGATTAAGCTCGCTATTAATATCAACTCTGGCACGGATCTTACCATCGTCACGAACTCTATTGGTGCTTAAACCCAAGTTAACAAGTATATCGTGAATCTCTTAGAGTTTTTAGGTCACCCAAGTTCTTGTGCTTCCAATACTTGAAGATATTATTTTTTGATGATTCCATAAGTTTAAAGGATATATTTATTTATATTAATTCTAGGTCTTAAAAACTAGCTAACTAACAATATAGAATAATTAAAATAAATATAAAAATTAATAATATAGGATAAATAAAAATGATAAATTGATATCTTTAAGTTCTTTTAAAATAATCATCTTTTGCTTATTCCATATTACATTTAACCCTTGGATGATCCAAGTGTATGATGAAAACATTTTCTCTGTCACTTATCTCAATAGAATATTAGTTTATCAAATTTCTCAATTAATTTTATTATCAAAATTAGGAGATAAAGAGAGAGTGATGAACTTGTCAACGTGGAGTTTGGATACGGCAGCGTCGTTACAAGATAGAGATGCAGAGGACTAAATGAACCCATTTGATTTTAGGGATTTTACAAAATTTTAAAACATTTGAGCTTATTTAACTAATCAGTTTAAAAATTAAAAACTTAAAATAATAAACTTGATACGATTGATTTTTTTTTAAACTAAAATCAGTTTGATTTGATCTAAACTGACTAATCGAATTGAAAAAGAGTCTCCAAAACCGAAGTCTTTTATAATCTTTAAAATTAAACTATTAATCAATCAATTCAAAACGAATTAGTTGTGAACCGGTTAAGTTTGAAGACCCTCCACGAGAACATAATAGAAGGCACAAGTATAAAAGAAAAAAATAGTTTTTACTTTGCTAAATTAATGTTATTTTATGCAATTATAAACGTGATAGCATCATTTTTAAATCTGTATGATATCTTGGTATGACTGATTTGTTTTTTATGAAAATGATTACACATAGTAATCAGTAAGACGAACACATTGGATGCCAACTAAATACGATGCCCCTCTTCGAACACTGATTTGTTGGACTCTAGATGGTGTCATTTGTGGTTTCTGTTAAGTCTCATGGAAATAAAAATATTGTAAATTTTCAGCCAACCTCATTGAACACTGCCTGTTAAAACAATTCCTCTAACAAAGAATCTTGCATCAAAACATCCTAATCTAGATCTCATAAAACTTTAGATAAGTTGTCACCAAAGCATCAAACGTGTAGTTTTTTTTTTTTTTTTTATGTATCGAAAATAAAATTTCCACATGCAAATATTCTCCTCCAAGATATATTATTTTTAACAGGTATCATATTATTGTAACCATGATGACACCACTTTCCAAATCTTTGTTGCATATGATTATATTGAGAACATTGAAGACACTTTCCAAATCTTTGTTGCATATGATTATATTGAGGACACTGAAGACAAAATGGATAAAACTTTTATAGTTATCAAAATCAAACCAAAAACTTAAGTGGTCGAGGTGCAGTCAGAGAGAATAAGGCAGAAGGAGAGAGATTATTATATGACAAAATACTTTCTTTTCTCTTCTTAATTCTAATTTAAAATTGATAGTAAAACACTTTAGAACAAATAATAAGAAAATATTAAGTAGAGAATAATAATCTTAATTGTCTTACAAAATTTGATCAATTTTATTTGACCCTGTCGATTCACGTGGGTTATCCAAAAATCGATCATATTAATCAATTTATTCCATCTCTTGACAAAATTAATCCAATAAATGAATCCGATCAGTCAATGATTTGATTTGATTACCTAGTTTAATCCTATTCTCATAGCTATGATATAAAAGAAATAAAAGGTAGAAATGGAAGAAAGGGTAAGCATACGAAAGTAACTGTATAGTTGGAAGAGAAAACTACCACAACGACGATTACCTTTAAATTTCAAATTAGATAGCTTTAAATTTGAGTCAATGCCATCAAAGTCAATGTAAATAATTATAATAATTAATTAAAATTTGGTGCAAAAATATGAGAAACATATAAAATGGATCTGATGGATTTCAATCAATATCCGAATGACTTTTGGGAAGTTGGTATAAAAATATAAAATTTAGTGAGACATTCAGATTGATTAATGCATTATTGCATAAAATGATAAGTTTTAGGTATCAAAAATATAAAATTTAATCTCTTGTTGCACAAACTAATAAACATTATGTATGTCATTTAATATGATAGATATATATATATATATATATATATATATATATATATAAATACAGAATTTAACAGTAAAGGAACTTCACTTAAATAAGTATGCTGTGAAATGTTGCATGAGATGATCAAATTAAGAATACGATATCACTTAAGTGTCTATTTCAAGATAATTTATACGCCATATAAATTAAGATTCCAATACAATTGCATTCCAATTAAATCGGAGTATAAATCTGATCGGATCTAGGATAAATTAATCATAGCATAGTAGGATTTAGCTTCAACCACAAGGATTCTATTCCGTTCTCCATCGCCAATAACTTCCCCTATATATAATCCACCACCACTCCGCCATTTAGGGACATACTCCGAGCTACCTAAAATGTTTGGACCCCAATGGATCAGTGAGGCAAGCTACTTTACAAGTATTTGAACCATGTTGGGATGCGGTTGATGCGTAGAAGCCACATAAGCCGAACAGCCCACTGACACGGTCAATGTGGTCCACGTAGGGCCGAGACAAACACGTCATTTGAATAGTCACCAAGTCGCCAGCTGCTGACGGTACGTTGTGTTGCCCACACGCAAAACACACCCCGTCCTGTCCTCCTCGTGTAGTTTAACCTATCACAAATATTTTTCCTAATACGAAATTGTTCGATCCCATTTAAGGACAAGACCAAGATAAAGTTTACGAGCTTGTTCACATGCGTCCTGCAAAGTACAGGGCCAATATATTGTGGCCATGCATGCATGTGCCGACGTCCAATGTGAGCATTCTCCACCTAATTGAGCTGCTCCAGAACTTGTGCCTTAAACATGGGACTGTTTGGCTTGTGAAGGAATCCAGTGGCCGCTCCCCTTGCTGTTTCGTATGTATGTCCACCACATGAGACTCTAGTGGACCAACCGCCAGCTGTGAAACAGGTTTAAGAGTGCTCTTCAACGACGCAAACGATCAGTTGCTATCGTCCTGATGTGGCAGATAATGTGGGATTACTTTCTCCGAGTTTAGCCAGACTTGGATCACAACTTTGACCTGATTACATAAATACACATTGATAGATACACTCCGAATCCGATCAAAGTCTGACGATCCGTTTACTGAGGCTGTTACGGTGTCCCAAGGAACGCATGCAGATAGAACTAAGAATTGGAGAGGCAAAGAAGGGGAAGCGTCTGCGACAAGCATGGAAGCGTGTGATGATGGGGGAGTGTTGGGGCGTCGCATGGATCCAATGATCCTGCCGGGGAGAACCAAAAGGCCCATGTCTCCCCCACTCATTATTACCAACTTTCTTCATCCTTTCTTCACGCCTCTCCTCTCCCCCCTCACTCCATTCGCCCGTAACTGGTGCCGCGGCAACCGGCCCCTGCCGGTACGCCATCCAACGTGTCGCCGACGCCACCCCACGCCGTTAACGTTGTTAGCTGAGACGTCAGCAGAGAGGGCAACGTGCACGTGACAAGCCGACACCGCTCGCACGTGCCTCGCGCGGTTGCGGTCGTCGTCGGTGCCCCCCTTTCGCCGTCAAGCCAAGGTAACGCCCGTTAAGTCGGGGAGGGGTGGAAATAGAATGGAACGTTCTATAAGATGGCGGTTCCATCGTCCGCCGTTTCTGGACTCCCTCCCTCCCTTTTCTTTACCTTTTTGATATATACCATCTCGATTCGCTCTCGCGATCTCCCCCCCCTGGATTGAGAGCCAAGAGAGAAGGATACAGATCTGCGTAAGAAGAAGAAAGGAAGGGCTACAGAGGCGGCATTGATGTCGATGGTGATTCCCAGGTTGCCGTTTCTTTTCCTTCTGGTGATTTCATTCGTGGGAGGCGGGGACATTTGCCCCTCCAGGTACATTAGCTTGAATCAACTTTTCCGAAAGCTCAACTCCTTTCCATGATGATTTTTGTTGGATTTTGAGACAATTGTGAGGATTTGTTAACCTCAGATGTACAATGTGGAGTGTGGAGATCGGTTTGGCTTCTCCTGGCTCCTCTGTCGTCGTAGAATTCGAATATTTAAGTGCTCTCGTCTAATGGGTTTGTTTAACTGGGTTTCTTTCAGGGTTGTAGCTGCCGCGGCAATGGCGCAGGGGAGCTTGAGAGCAACCGCCAGCAATGGGTCGTCTTCCACCATGGCACAAGGGTCAGTGTCGGACCACCAGGTTTCCTTTCAAATAGATGCGAAGCGTCGGTGACGCTTGAGGATGGATCTTGACCGTAAGATCTGGACGCATACGTTGCCTTAGTCGTAGTGCTCACCGTCCAGATCTGATTCGTTGGATCCAAGCCGTTTAACACGTTCCATAAGAAATTTGTTGAGAGCACCCAAGAACAAGCAAACAACCTCGAGCATTTAGAATGAAGCATCACATTTCTCTCCTCTCGTTGGACAAATACAGATAGATCAAAGTTTGATCGGCATCTGACTATTGGTCCGTTAATTTACGCAGGCCCGCAGGTGACGTGGTAGTTGGCGCGGTGGACGATCCAGAATTTATAGCAACAGAGGTGGAAATGTAAGTCCACTTGCATCCTCATTTTCTACTTTAATTATTTGATAATTAAATATAAATATGCATATTGGATAATTATTACGAATTTATTAGTTGCAAACTGCAAGATAATGGCCTTTATACCCTCACGTGAACGTGGCCTAACGTATTTAATATCATGGGTTGGGCGTGTCTGCTGTGGCTGGTCGATGCTACTCTCCCTTCACGCCTCCTGCGACCTTGCATTTCCCTCTGTTTCCTGTGCTCTGTTCTGAGGTGTGCAATTCACATGAAACGAAGAATAATGACTTATTGGCTCTTGCATTGATGGAGTTCGGTCAGTGACGCCAATTACCAACCCCATCTCGTCATGAACTAGGTATTGCATTGATTTAGTGCCACACACACACTGACTCTCTCTCTCTCTCTCTCTCTCCCATTTGGCCGAAGACACGGCTTGAGCTTTTCCTATTACGTCGATTTAGGTCCCCATCACTGTAAGTCTCTAGTCACTTGTCATGGCCTACCTGTATATTCTCCCGATGGTGAACTCGGGTCAGCTGAGAGACTGAGACCGATGGTCCTCACACCTTGTTATGACATTCCTACCTTTCTGGCTGTCTTTCTGATGGACACGGATCCTTCCCAGTTGGCACTTTTAATCAGAATTATTTATTCCCCCATAACTATAATTGTCACTTCTTTATTATTTATGAGCCACACTGTTGTTTGTACAAATATAACGCGATCGCTATCGATGTGACTACCACCGTTTCATCCATGACTCTGGAATTCTGCAATTGTTTATCTACATATTTGAAACTTGGGACTTATTCAGTGATTAGTGCTCAAGAAGTAAGGAAAACACTATAATGGCGGGAATTGTAATTAAAGCGTCAATTTTTCTTGATTATGCGTGTCGCAAAAGCAGGCAGATAGGCAACATCACGGCGCGCCGGTCGCTGGGCTACCTATCAACATGCGTGACGGGCAACCCCATCGACGACTGCTGGCGCTGCGACCCCGAGTGGCACCTCCACCGCAAGCGCCTCGCCGACTGCGGCATCGGCTTCGGGCGCAGCGCCATGGGCGGCCGCAACGGGCGGTTCTACCGCGTGACCGACCCCAGCGACGACGACCCAGTGAACCCCCGCCCCGGCACCCTCCGCTACGCCGTGATCCAGGACGAGCCCCTCTGGATCGTGTTCAAGCGCGACATGGTCATCACCCTCAAGCAGGAGCTCATCATGAACAGCTTCAAGACCATCGACGGCCGCGGCGCCAACGTCCACATCGCCAACGGCGCCTGCATCACCATCCAGTTCGTCACCAACATCATCATCCACGGCCTCCACATCCACGACTGCAAGCCCACCGGCAACGCCATGGTCCGCAGCTCCCCCTCCCACTACGGCTGGAGGACCATCGCCGACGGCGACGCCATTTCCATCTTCGGCTCCAGCCACATCTGGGTCGACCACAACTCCCTGTCCAACTGCGCCGACGGCCTCGTCGATGCCATTATGGGATCCACCGCCATCACCATCTCCAACAATTACTTCACCCACCACAATGAGGTCTCCTCTTCCTCCTTGAACACACTCATTTATTGCTTCTTTCGGATGCCAATGTCCACCCATTACTCTCTGAACTGTGCATTATAATAAAGCTACTATCGATGATAGTTAATATGAACTATGGAAAGACTAAAAGATTAAGAACTTGAACAGGTGATGCTTTTGGGTCATAGCGATTCGTACGTGCGAGACAAGGCTATGCAGGTGACCATTGCCTTCAACCACTTCGGCGAAGGACTCATTCAAAGAATGCCAAGGTAACTCGCAATGTTGCTGGACAAAGAAATCATTAGAATACCCAGCGTCACCAATGTTTACCACTGTGGCAAAATGCAGGTGCAGACATGGCTACTTCCATGTGGTGAACAATGATTACACTCACTGGGAGATGTACGCCATTGGAGGAAGTGCGAATCCGACCATAAACAGCCAAAGCAACAGATACCTTGCACCTACCAATCCCTTCGCCAAGGAGGTAAATTAGCCTCCATTACCGATCTACGACCAATCGTCTGCAAGAACTTGTACGAGTTGAATTGGATTCACAGGTGACGAAGAGGGTGGAGACTTCGAGTGATGTTTGGGAGAGCTGGAATTGGAGATCAGAGGGCGACCTGCTACTGAACGGTGCCTACTTCACCCCATCGGGAGCTGGTGCCTCTGCAAGCTACTCGAGGGCCTCCAGCCTTGGGGCCAAGTCATCCTCCATGGTTGGCTCCATCACTGCAGGGGCAGGGGCCCTCCCGTGCCGCAAGGGTTCCCTGTGCTAATGCAGCCCCCTCGAAAGAAAGAAGACAGAGAAAGATTCCATTCCGTCCTATTTGACAGTGTGTGCACATTCTTCAACCTCCCCCTGCTTCCACTGTAACTCTGCGCACGGAGCAGGTGCGAAGCGTTGCTGATTTGTTGTTCCTTGGTTTGTTTGTTGGATGATGATGAATCCCTTAATTATCATGTCCCGATAGTTTCATGTAACCTTCCACCCCACTCTACCTTCGTTACCGAGGAACGTCAATTCGCTGGGATAATTCCAAAAAGAAGATACTCTTTAAAATATTTAGATTTCAACATGGGAGTAAACTAGGATGTGATATTAATCTGTCACTATGTTGCTGCCTTGAAGCCATGGTTCCCCAAACACTCATCCTGATTGCGTCAGATTCCAAGTACAACAGGAGGTCTTAAGATCTCAGATGCCAAAGTCTATGTGAGCCCGTGGTACCGAGTGCTCACATCCCTGTTCACGCCCCGCCACAAGGCCTGCTCTCATTGCATTAGGTGGCAGTAGATGTCGATTCCCACGGGTACTGCCATGTCAGCATAAGTACACGGTCATTTGTTTTATGTTTGTAAAGAGTGGGAGAATCAGCAGTGATATTTGCAGGTCACGCCTCCCTATTTATCATCTTGAAGCTGTTGGATCTTATTGTGTCAGAATCGCTAGTGGATTCAAGGTTTTCGGATTGGTTCTCACATACTTGAGGGCAGGAAACTAGAGCGAGCAGGGCATCCGGATGCAGCACGATATGAGCTCTCAATTCACATTCAATCCTCGGGTTTGGTTGGTCGAAACCTGTCTCTGAGAATGCAGAAATATATGGCTTTCTTCCTCCATCAATCTTATGGTCAGCAGAAGCATCAGAGGGTCAATATAACAGTAAACAAGATCCTCCTGAGTTAGCATTCTTATGGCAACATTCTTAGGTCTTTGCAGCGGGTTTCCATTCATCATCGATGCATCCATTAGAGCTATCCTTCGGCAGAAACAAGCCGTGATGTTGGGACTGAAGAAGAAAAGTAGTCCCACGCAGTGTTATTTAGAAGACATGGGTTGGGATTTGGGCCATGTATGTATGTATGGATTGATTAACGGGAACCACTGGATTCCTGCAACGGATTGAGTGACATCAATCGATCTATGAGTGTGTGTCAACTGCAACGGAAGTAACCCGTAAAGTGCAAGTTGTATTTCTTAAGATTAAATATTTATATATATATTTTTTAATTAAAGATATCTGATAGCTTAGTTGATAAAGATTTTAATTATACCTGAGAATTATATAACTTAAAGAATAACAAAAGAAAAAAACCAGACATTAAGTGTATCTTGTGTTCTAAATGTTAGAAAAAAAACCTTTAACAAAAGAATACAACTTAGAAAAAATAAGAAGGGACGAAGATAAATGAGTGAAGACAATGACGATAATAATAAAAATAAAATCATAAATCCCAATTACTTGAAATTGACTACATGAAATCTTTATCGTCAGTAAGAAAAGATTAAGATAAATGAGCCAAGAAGAAAGATAAATCAACTTCCCCTAGTACCCTTTTTCTTTTACATCAATTATTCTATTCACTTGATAATCTTACAATAATTACTTAATATATAATTGAATCCCTTTGCTCAATTGACTTTTTAATCAAATTGAAGTATGAATGACAGAAACGGATGTGTCCTATCTGACAGAGGACAGCAGCCCCTCATCTGCGTCACACATTATTCAATTCCTCGTACATGAAGTCGTTGGTTGATTTAGTTCCAAACTGGCCCGCACAAGTTGCACCCAACCGAAACACACATGATTACATTGATCACTGTTGGTGGTTGGCAGAACATAACATTACGGCCTGCTAAATTGTAAGGATAACGTTCTTGTATCTCGTCGCTTTCCCATCCCATGTTTTGTACCGGCAACCTTTTTGGCTCTCCCACCCCCAACTCCTCTCGTGATTGTCTTCCTAATAGTCAAAAGCCAACATGCACATTGCAGCTCGTCAAACCCTATCACTTGCTGCATTTGGTTAGAGTAGCGAGATGGTCAGGGAAATCAATGAGAGGGCAAATGGAAGCAGTGAGTGGATTGCATTACATAGAAATTGAAAACATTGTCTTACTTACTTCCCACATGCATGCATGATAAGATAGCACGCAAATGGCAAACGGAGGCATTGCGTCGGTGTTCACTACCACAACAAAGGTACAATGACCACTTGCTGCGCATGCCAAGTTGCCACGGCTCCTCTGAACTCCTCATAACAGATCAAATCTATAATAAACTTCAAATTAATTTTGTATAAAAATTAATGAACTGTTTAATCATATTTATAGAAATATAAATCGATTAGGCTCGGTTTATAATTGACCTATGTCAGTTTATAATGGTTTGATCTCCTAATCTGCATTTCTTTATATTTGCAATCGATTTACAAAAACCAATTGCCTGATCATCAGAATGATCAAACCAATTACCTAACTGACCTATGTTAGTACGATTGCCTGATCATTCTAATTGTAGAAATGCATAGAAATTAAGCTCGGTTTATAAACTGACCGATTGCCTAATTTTTATACATAGGTCTAGGCGATTAAACTACTATAAATTAGTCTCATAGAACTTAAAATCAAGATTCAATCTTGTGCACTTTTTAATCATATTTCCGATACATATTTGTTAATCGAACTTTTAAAATTAAAGAAAATTTACCATAGCACTAATTCACCACCCCCCTCTCTCTTAGTGTCATTACGATCCTAACAATTAGTATCGGCTTTCAAAAATCTTCTAAATTGATAAAAATAAAATAATTTTGAAAAAAAAATATTTTTTTTAAATACTATAACTATGAATGCTTTATTTTATAATTTAAATAAAAATAAGTTTAATTGAGTTTCTATTGAATATTGGATTTTGATGATGAAACCAGTTGATAGTGTTTATGATTTGATTTACGTTTTAAGTGATATAGGAAGTTTCGATCAGAAAGAGATAATAAAAACATGAAGAATCATGTTGGGTCGGAGAAAAACATGTTAGAAGATTGTATGTCGAGTCGAAGGATCGGTCGACTTATCGGCAGAAGGCTTCGGGCCATTGGTTCAAGCATCGGGCCAAGAAGAGCGAAAATTACGCTAAGAAAATCAAAGTTGTAGAGGTTGACTAGCCGATTGAGCAATAGGCCATAAGAGAGGACGATGCACTAAAGATTCGGACGAAGCACCGATGAACCAATAGCATGCCAGACAACATTTGATTTGCTTTATAATAATTATCTAGATCGAAGTAGGTTTTAAGTGTACAGGATTAACTATGATAGCGATCAAGGCATAAAACAAAATGAAGTTCCGGAGTCAAGAACGAGATTTCACTGCGAGTTCGAGAGTTCGTTAGAAGTTCGGACATTCATCGAAAGCTCTACTAGAATTGACTAAGAAGTCTAGGAGCTTGCCAAAGAAGCTCATCGGAACTCATCAAGAAGATCGTCGTGAAGTACAGGAGCTTGCTATAAGTCCGTTGGAACATTGCCGAGAGATCGTCGAAAGTTCGCCGGAAGAAAACTAAACTTATGAACTTATTTAGTTGGGTGAATATCTTAAAATTTCGTAGTTAGCACATAATTAGGTTGGAATTAGGTCAACTCAATTAAGAGTCAATTAGGCCCAATATTAGGTTATGTTGGGCCAAGTGCAAAGCCCAAACAATAACCTAATAGGTAGCATCGTCATGGCACAATATCTAAGACTATGTCAAGCGGTGGTATCGCCAGTCTAGGTAGTGGTATCATCCAGACACAATCTTCTAGGTGGTGGTACCGCTAGACTGGGTAGTAATACCGCTTAGTATCAATGCTGCAGGCGATGGTACTGCCCAACATAAGCGATGGTACCATTAGGACCTCGAAAATCGAGTTGAGATATTTTTAGGCTCCAAGTTTGAATCCACTTGAGGCCTATAAATACCCCTCTCATCCCTGGTTAACAAACACACAACTGAAAGTAAAAATGAGAAGAAAACACTGTTGTAATCTTGTGTGAACTCCTCTAAAAATTCTAAGTGGTAGTTTTGTTTAAGAGAGGAGTAAGGGGGGTTGTAAAGGTTCTTTCTTGAACCTATCAAAAGGATAATTGAGTTGTAAAGGTAGTTGGTCTTTGTCTATTGAAGGAAGACCGATAATAGATGCCAGTGGCCTCAACAAAGGAGGAATCGAGAGTGGATGTAGGTCATGACGATCAAATCACTATAAACTTGGTTTATATTAACTTTGAGTAATTTACTTTTATAGCATACTGCCTCTCCTCCTTACTGTGCTTTTACTATGTTTATGCTCTCATACACTTTCAAGTTAAAATCTTTCGAGATCAATTTTAATCGTACGAAAGATTTTTTCAAACCAACGTTTTTTATCCGCTACACTAATTCACCCCGCCCCCTCTTAGTGCCAACTCGTTCCTAACATTTTCTACTTGTGATGCCGCACATGATATTTGGTATATATTTAAAGTTATTATGAAGGCACAAATAGAGTAAAAAAATCTAAAATTAATCTTTTGGTTCATAGTTATGAGTTATTTAAAATGAAAGTCAAATGAATCTATTGGTGATATATACACTTGTTTTATGGATGTTGTCAATGAGTTTAAAGCTCTTAATAAAAATTATATTAATCTTGAATTAGTAAGTAAAATTTTAAGATCTCTTTCTAAAAGTTGAGATCCAAAGGTAACAACAATACAAGAAGCTAAAGACTTGAACAATTTTCCTCTTGAAGAATTTATAGGATCCTTGATGACCTATGAAATGACTTATAAAATACATGATAAAGAAAAGAAAAACCTTCCTAAGAGAAGGAAAGATATTGCACTTAATCCAAGGAAGATAACTTGAGTGAAATCTCAAGTGATAACAATGATGACATAACACTCCTTACCAGAAGATTCAAAATGTTCATGAGGAGAAATAAAATAAATCTTGTAAGATAAGAAGGTAAGAATAAAAGTATAAAAAATAATAATAATAATCATATGCTTCGAATGCAAAAAGTCAGGACATTTAAAAAATGAGTGTCCACTACTGAAAAAGAAATCAAACCCAAAAGAAAAAGAAAACGCTTAAAGCAATGTGGAATGAATAAAGTGAGTCAGAAGAGCAAATTAATGAAGATAAAGTGACAAACTATACCTTAATGGTCATTAACGATGTGGTATTTAACTCTTTGAATCTTCTTTATCTTATCATGAATTACTTAATATATTTTATGATTTATATTATGAACTTAAAAAGATTGATAAAAAATATAATTTGCTAAAAAA